TTCCCCCAGCCTTCTTTCAGCTTCTAGTCCATCTAGCTCCTGCACTCTCTGACTGATTTCCACTTTCCTTTGCTCTAATCTACCAAAAACCTCTTTATTCCAAATCTTGAGTCTAGCTTTCAGGAGTTGTAGTTTCTTGTAAAACCTATAGACTCCTAAACTCATAATAATCCTAGGAGTCAAACTGTTAGACTCATAATAGTCTTAGGAGTTAAACTGTTTAACTCAATAATCCTAGTAGGACTCAAACTAAGTTGTCATATCTTATTTCAATTCAAAGAAAACTCAATAACTCTAATCCTACTTATGCAATGACTCTAAAATTTTAAATATAAACAAACTATAACTAGACAAATTAAACCCTATCATTGTTCCCTACACAAAATTATAAAAAATGACAAAAATACCCCTCTGTCCAAAAATACAGAAATACATAAAATTTCATAAAATCCCAATTTTGACTCTCCAGCTCCTGCATCACTTATGTGAGCAGGTTAGAAAGGAAAAAAAAAAAGAAAGAGAAAATGAGTGTTGGATAGTCATAAAACAAAATGCCCAAAAAAGCAAGTGTGAAAAAATTGTGTACGTTGAGATGGATGGGTGGAAAAACTAAAAAAAAAAGATAGGATTATACAAATGGTCATTTAAAGGAACATAGTAGTAGTTCCAAAAGGTGACAAAAATGAGAAAGTAGACACTGATAAAAAAGAGAGAGAGAGAGAGAGAGAGAGAGAGAGAGAAAGTAGACTAAATATGGTTTGGCCACGTCAATAGAAGACTATCTGCAACACCCGAAAAAAAAGCAATTTATTGCAAGTTTAAGGAGATAGAAAGGCTAGGGGAAAACGAAAAATGACATGGGTTGAAGTAGCAAGAACTAATTTAAGCAGTGTTGTAAGAGTTGGACCAGACATAAAACTGGAATGCTTGTTGGGTCATGGGCCAAATGGTTTGATCATGAGTCATAGAAATGCTATATAATTATTTTTGTAATTTATAACGCATGCACAAGTGTTGGTTAGATGTTTGCTTGTTTTTGGCTACAAATGACTAGGGTTCAAGTCTCATCATTCATGTTTTACTCAAAATACATAGATATCTCTTTATAATTAATAGGTCATGAGTTCAAATCCAACTATTAGCATTTTAAGTTTCTGGTGATTTAGTGACCTGGGCGGGTCGTTGAAACCAGTCGGATCATTAAAACCCAGCCGGTTTTCAATGGTTCTGTTGGGTTTTGACCAGTTCTAACGGTTTTCCAGAAATCTGAAAACTAGGATTAAAAAAAAAAAGAATGGCTTCTGGTTCCCAGGTTTGATGGTTCGACCATATGGTCCAGTCTGAGTCTTACAACATTGGATTTAAGCACTCATAATTTAACTGGAGATGGCACTAAACAGGTCGGAATGGAGAAACAGGATTAATGTAGCCAACCTCATATGATTGGAACAAGGGTTAGGTGGTGATGGTGATCTTTAAAATAGAATTATAGTTTAGAGATCCTTTAAAAGATGACCTTTAAAAGAAGCAAACCTGATCACTAAATGCATTTCCTTCACTTCCTCACCTTACAAAGGTTTCCATCCCGTTTATACTCGTAGGGTAGAATATGGTTATTACAACGAATATTGACTTCTAAGCTAAAAATGAAAAGAAACAAACTATATTCAAATATCTTCTAAATCCCCAAGTATTTCCTAACGTCTAACTGTATTCCTAACTAAACTCAAAAGAGGAAATAGCCTAGAAGACAACTCAATAATAAACTTGGCAACTAAGATAATTACCTGTTAACTTCCAATGGAAAATTTTATTTTCTTCCAATTTTCCAACATGGGAGATTTTTGCAGACTTGATAGCTAAAAAGGCTGAACTGATCTTTATAAAACAAAGGGCTGAGTTAATAAGCTACATCCACAGAAATTGCTTCATGAAATTAGCTTATAGTAGGCCCAGGAATGGAATTGAGCCATAACAGAATCCTCTCTTTTTTAGCAATTTTTTGGCCCTCCATCACTGGTTTTTTGGGTATAGAAGTAGCAAAACCCACATAGAGAAAATAACCATGTGTTCTTCAAAAAGCCTAAATCGATTATTCAGTATAATCTTCGGTATTAAGTAAAAAAGAAATAAAAAAAATAGGGAAAACAATTAGTATATGAGCAAGTCAGGAGTTACTAGACTGGTCGAGATGGATCTCTTGCAGGAGGCTATACCTAGCCTTGTTGATGGTGGTGAAGTAAAGGCAGAGATGTTCTTCGAGGTCATTGAGTTGGTGAAGAAAATTAGGTTGGTTCTTGCGAAGTTGCTTCACCACCTCCTGAATAAGGAAACTGTCCTTCCCCCTCTCCAAACCCAGGCTGATAAGAAACTTGTCGCTCTCAATCGCTGCGTGCAAGCGGGCAACGAGGCGGTCGATGGTATCGAGGAAGTTATTCAGGACGAAAGTCCCCTTGGCAGTAGCATCTAGCTGGGCAATATGCTTGAGCTCCTTCTTAGTAACTTTGTTCGGGAGCAAGACAAATAGAGCTCCAGCAACAAGGGCGGCGAAGGCATGAGCAGCAATCACCACGGCCGCTAGGACAACACCAATGGTTGTGCCGATGAGGCAGAGAGCCGACCCGGTTGTGGCTCGGCGAATGAGGCGGACCTTCCTGCGGGATTTGTGGAGATGGCAATCGAGCTGCAGCTTGAGCTGAGAGAAGCAATGACGCATGTTACGGAAGTTATCAGAGTTGGGGTGGGGAAAGGGATTCTCGAGACTGTTGAAATTCCGCAAAATGCCGAAGGCCCAGTCACACTGAGCTTGACTGAGTGATCCGCACTCAGAAGAGCTTAAAGGAAGGATATCAATGAGGTCGCCCAGAGGGGCGTAATGGGAGCGGGCGAGATCGATGCTACGCTGAAGGAGAAGGCACAAATGGGAGGTGTGTTCGCTGTTGTCGAAGTAGGCGGAGACTAGTTTAGTAAGGTTGCTGGGCCTGGCCCGGTGGAGGGCCACCTCGACGGAGGCCCGGTCCGGCTGGAGGAGCTGTGCCACGATGTGGGATGATGAGACCGGTTCTTCCTGCTGCACGCACTCCACCTGGGAACCATCTTGGACGTGAATCTTGGACCATATCTCGTTGTAGGAATTGGTTTGGAGTGAGAGGATGTATTCGCTGGTGAGGTTGACTGTGGGTGATGGTTGCGCGCTGAATATTTGCACTTCCTCTCTTGAAGCATCTAGGGTTTCAATCGCCATCGTATATATACGTACCAACGTCATTAACAAATTAGAAGACAGAAGTTGCAAGCTTAAAGCATCGGCGGCGCAATAAGTAGAACAAGTGACCAATAAAATACAATGGACAGATTGATTCGCACTGATGATGATGGGCTGTGGTGGGGAACTGGGGATGAAGCAAATGAACAATATCGACCGCGCAGCCGCGCTCGGGAGAGTGTTAAGAGAGAGAAGGAGAGAAGTGAGCACAGCTTGAGCTGAACCGTCATTCTCCCATTCCATGGGTTTTGAATGCATTACGAGTAGACCTGTTCATGGGCCGGGTGGCCCGACGGGCCGGCCCAGCCCCGCCCCCGGACGGGCATGAACATGTTTATAGGCCCACGGGCTTAAACTCGGACCAAAAAATCCGGCCCGCAATAAATTCGAGCCGGGCTTGGGTTTTATCAAAATAGCCCAACTCGACCCGACCTAAAATTAGACTTAAAATGAGTTATGTGATTATGTCCATTTGAATAAATTTTTTGATTTAAGAATGTAAAACTGTGTTTTAAAACGTAAAAGAAAGGGAAAAAAACTATTTTGTAGGCCCATTGTTGATTTAAATAGAAAAAAAAACCATCTAAATTTTTAATTCTTATTTGAATAGGGAATATTGTAATTTTTTTATTAGGTCGGGCTTTGGGCTCGAGCTCAGGCTTCGAGCTTTTTATCAGGGCCAGGCTCGGGCCCAAATTATAGGCCCATTGGTCGGGCCAAGCTCGGGCTCGAGCCTAGCATATTTTCATTAATGATGAATAAAAGTCCGACCTGAGCCCGACCCGGCCCAGCCCATGAACAGGTCTAATTATGAGAAAAGAAAAAAAAAACGATAAATAGGTTGTTTTGACTTTTGAGGATTTTTTACTCTCATCACCCTAAATTTAACGAAAAAGTCTTTTGGGGCCGATTTAAACATAAAAATATCGTAAAAAAAATGTAAAGTGATAGTGTTCTCATTTTCAATCCGTTAAATAATAAATAAAACAAAGATAAATTTCTTAAGGGATTATAGTAGATAAGGGTAATTTTTTGCCCTTAATATCAATAAAAATAATATATCTAAAAATTTTCAAAAATAGGTTAACTTTTTAAAAATAATATCAGTTAAGGGCAAAAATATTATTCATCTTCTTCCTCTTGCAATCTATTCATCAGCACCGCCACCTCCGGCAACGCCTCTAGCAATTTTGTCGAAGGTGGGTGGAGGCAGAAGTGGCGACGACGGCACTGGTGGTCATTCTTCTACCCAACGTTGCCACCTCCAGCAACGCCTCCGGCAGTTTTATCGAAGGTGAGCAGAGACAGAAGTGGCAACAGCGGCGCTGGTGGTCATTCTTCTGCCCAACGCCGCCGCCTCTGCCTCCGTCTCCCGCAATGTTGCCAGAGGTGGGCGGTGGCAGCGCTGGTGGTCATTCTTCTACCCTACGCTGCCACCTCCGCCCACTAGCACGGCCTCCACCCACCTTCGGCAACGTTGCTGGAGACGGAGGCGGAGGTGGCAGCGTGGGCAAAGGAATGACCACCAGTGCCGCCGCTGCCACCCACCTCCTGCAACGTTGCCAAAGGCAGAGGCAGAGGTGGCGGAAATAGGCAAAGGCATTGTCAGAGGCGGCGGCGAACGACAGTGCCTATGAATGGATTGCAAGAGGAAGAAGATGAACTATGTTTTTGCCCTTAACTGATATTATTTTTAAAAAGTTAACATATTTTTGAATTTTTTTATAAATATATTACTTTTATTGATATTAAGGGCCAAAAGTTGACCTTATCTACTATAATTCCATTTTTTAAACTATCCCTACTATTTGTGAAATTGACTAATTGTACCCTTACAGTTTACATATTGTCTTTAAAGTACCCTTATTGTTTCTAAAAATCGGCATCGTTGTTAAGTGCTAACAGAGAGAAACAAAATATCAAATTTGCCCTCTACTATTCTTCAAATTTTAAAATAAAACCCAACTAATGAACAATTCAGATGATGATGTTTGGTGAATTGCGTGTTTTGTCGCCAGAAGATGGTAAAGAGTGGGAGAACAACAATGAGGGAATAAAAGAAAAACATAAAATCAGTGGGTTCTCGCCAGAGGTGGGTGGGAATAAAAGGAGAGTGTTGTCACAATGATTCCTCTATTTTTGTTAACACAATGAACAGTGACCAGGGATCTTATTTTAGCTCACATAGAGAGAAAGAGAGAGAGAGCAATGGAAATGAAGAATATAGGAGAGAATGTGAGAGAGAAAATGGGGAGAGATTGAAGGGAAGAGGTTTCATCCCCACTGCTTCACCATGTCGTGAGGTAGGAGGGGGACAGTGTATATTCTCGGGTATTAGCTCATTAGGGGAGAGAGACAGTCGAGAAGAGAGAGGATGTGAGAAGAAGATGGAAAGAGGAGTTCGGGGGAGAAGTCGTCACTTGGTTGCTCGGTTTCTGAGGTCGAAGGAGATGAAGGTGAACAGTGAAATTTTCGGTCATTGCTTCAGTTCGATGGAGAGAGAGAGGGGGGGGGGGAAGGAAGAGGGTGAAAGGAAGGTATGTCGTTGTTGGAAGTTGCAGCAACGGCGGTGGTGTGTCAATCCGAACTAACGAGGTAAATAGGGGAGGGTTTTGGAGGCTTTTGCAACATCTTGCTTTGAGTATTTTAGCCCACCCAACACCCACCACCATCTCCTATTCTCTCTCTCTCTCTCTCTCTCTGCAACTGAAGAAGAAGAAGAAAGCAGAAAGTAAAAAAAAAAATGAAATTAAAAAGAGCTTCTAAGTTTTCTACTTGAAAAAAAAAATCTTCTTTGAATATCTAAGAACTTCATCTCTGCAACTATAGAATTTGTTCTTCAGATCTGCTTTGAACTTCCAAATTTTCTCTGTTCTTTCCCTCTGTTAAAGCGCCATTTCTTCAGGCATGATGGATTTTTACCCATCGTCTCACCTTGCACTTCTTTTTTACTCTTTCTAGTCTGGTTCGTCAATGTTGTTCTATGGTTAATCATCCTAGCTCGACTCTTTTGCTTTGCTTTTGTTTGTGTTTCGAGTTTGTTTTGATGGTGATATTATTTTTTCTTTGGCATTTCTTACTTATCTTATGAAGCTATCTTTTCGGTTCTCTAGTCCACATGAAAAATGCCAAAATTAATTGAATTAACCTTAAAATTCCAGACATAAAAGAAAAACTTGAAAATACAAAGAATAAACAATAAAAGGTAAAAGACTAAATACTAGAGATTAAAGAGTAAAAACTTCTAAGAATACATCAGGTCAGCAAGTTGACTTGTGACCAACCTGATTTTTCTGATTAGTGTTGGGTGGGTCATTCTCAAATTCGGGTGGCTAGATATGAGACCCCAACCTATTTTTTCAGGTTGGGTTCACGGGTGGTCAGCTCATAGAAGAATCTTCCCTGATGCATACAAGTAGTGTAAGAAATGAAACAAGAATGCCTTGGATCTTAAAATACATAAATAATGTATATGATGAATTTAAAATATTAGAGAATAACATATAAACACATTATGAATAATAATATTTAATATATAAATAATAATGTTATTAAATATGATAACAATAATTCTAACACCATCACTCAAAAAACAGAGAACTTAGTAACAAGTATCACTTAACAAATATTATGTTGTTGCCATTAATTAGTAACAAAATGTTCAAAATTATACACCAAGTTTGATTCAAGAACAAAGCATATGATTACTTACCCAAAATGCCTTGTAAACATAGTTCGACATATATAGCAAAGTCCAATGGTAATTGGTAAGCGCTGGATCAATATCTACTTCATAACTCGATGGTGAAGAGGACCAATCCAAGTAACACCTAAAATATGAAATAATTCATATTGCATCTACAATAAGCCAATAAAATTAGGTCCTTTGTGGTTTCTTGTCCATCGTTGCCATTTCTTCTTGGTGACTCCTAAATTTTAATCAACCCATATAAATGATTCCTTATGGTGCCCTCTTAGCAGGCATCAAAAGAACCATCTATAATAATTTACTTCAGTTTTGGCCATGTACACTGCTATATGACCCTTTCTACTGCAATTTCAAAACCATATTATAGGAAGACATGCATAACTGGACCAGGCAATTTGTGGGCCCAAATCAGGGCCGGGCCTGAAGACTACCTAGGCCCAAGCCTGGAATTTCCAGACCGGATCGGGCTGAAAAGATGACCCCTGTACTAGGACTACGGCTGGGAGATTGAATCAGATGGCAAGAACCAACTTATCAACAATAACCATAATATAGCCACTTTTTGCCATTTCAATAGTATGAACACAGTTTTGATATCATTGAATCTGTACATTCAAGGAAAGCAAGACTTTGCAAATGAAACTTATACATGAAATTCTAACAAGAAAGCAGTTTGAATTATTGTTTAATGTAGTAATCACACAATAAACAGACAATTAACATTTTTAAACAGAACCATACATAAACATGTTACAATATGATGCCACCGGCAATGCAAACAATCCAAAGTAACAATGAACAAAAAACTTGTCCTTTCACCTTCGGATTCAAATAACCTGGTCTTGACATGGCAAAAGAACACTTACCCTTTATTAAGCTGTGCTTGATCAAGGACAGTTTCACAACTGGGGGGGTTTGTACTACAATTGAAATTGCAGCGGCATCTTAGGAAGATGAGGATGAAGATGAAGAAGGGTTGAATGCTATCTGTTCTGCACATGTCAGAATATCATGGGCACCTCCCTGCTCTCTACCAACCCCCAGTAGATCAAGGTAATAGAGGTAGTGGGAGATAATGGCGTTCATGGAATCAATGTCACCCTGACTGCACACCCGGTCCCCATAGAGAATATTCATGGTGGCTCCAAAACCAGGAACACGTTTGGCCAAAGTGTCATTCTTGGTAGGCTTCCAGTTTCCAACGAAGACATCATGGGCTGATGGCTGCTTCGGCTTGATCGGGTTCATCCACCTCCACATAGCAGCTTGGAATGCCAGAGTAGCATTCTGTTCCAGATATTCAGGATAGTTCAACAGATCCACCTTCAAACCATCCCCGATGATCCCGTAATTGTAGTTCCTAATACAACCATCATCATCATATCACCACCACCATCATCAGTAGCAGTGGCGAGAGCAGTAGTAGCAGCAACAAGAATAATATCTCGTAATCTCACTTCAGAAATAATTTTCTCACAAAATCAAATAGCTGATTTGAGTGCAAAATGAAATTAAAAGATTTTTTATTGGTAATGAAATTAAATGATTTCGTTGCTTTTCCTTTACATGTTAAAGCAGATGTTTAACACCTAAGATGGCGCCCTTTTTCGTTAAATACCAGACAGTTCATTTTTTTTTAAATGAACTTACCTCCAACTTTCCTTAGCAAATTAAGACGGCGGTTGCACAAGTTTAAATGCCGTGCAGAACTAAATCTAAATTAATTCCATTTCAGGAGGCAGCCAAATAATATATTAAGAGAATTACTACTAATAGCTTGTATCCATATAATTTGACATCAGATAATGGAAGAAGAAAAATTGCATACCAGTAGACGGGCAACGCACCCCGGCCATAGTATTGAACTCCGGGAGAGCAAGGGTAGAGGTAATTGGGATCACAGTAGGCTTGGCTCGGGCTCATTTCATGGTTGTAGCAGAGCCCCCAGGCTAAGGGCCCTCCAGTGGCAACACCGTAACCACCTGAAACCAAATCGATTCAAGACAATGAGCACTGAAATCCCAAACATAACCATCCAAATCATTATTAATTTATGCAATACAAGACCAAATCTCCACTGTAACTATATTCTATTACGTATTTAAATTGCCTCTGAAGAGACGCCAATCATCTAAAATGGTATAAAAGAAAATACCTAAACATCAAATGAAAAAGTGATCTAATACTTAACAGGAAGTCTGGCTGCCAACATGCCCAAGGAAGGCGGCGATCTCCTTCATCTGCATAAGCTTACCGCCGGTGGTGCCAAAGCCGAGGGGCTGGAAAAGGGTGGATGCGAGGATGAAAGACTGGTAGTCCCAGAATCCAACGGCGTGAGAGATCGGGGAGTTGCGCTTGGAGAATAGGTTCTCGAACTGGTAGACCTGGAAGTAGTCGGAGATGGTTAGGTTGCAACAGTACTTGGAGCCTTGGCACTCCCATCCCTTGGTGCACACCTTCTCCTTTTTCCCCTTTGCTTCACTCACATTCCCCCACATGGCCATCGCTACCACCATTGCTAAAACGAATACTGTCCATTTGATCTCCATTCTAGGAAAATAGTGGATCAGATTCGCGTTTTAGATCAAATTTCTGCCGAGGAAGGAGAACCAAGAGGAGAACACAATCAGTTGACCAAAAAGAGGATCTACAAACCACGAGTGACACCTCTCAAAGGAAATCTTGATAAGGAGAAAGGTTCAGCAAAAATGAGAATGCTCACCTCACAGTAGCAGAAACTAGAAACTGAAGATTATATTCCCCCTCCTTGGTAGGAGGAACGTTTCTTTCTTTCCTATGTCTTGCGAGGAAGACAAAAGAATTAGATCAGGGCTCTTTCATGTTCTAGATGCTACCAGTCCCACATGCGTAATCACCTGCAACTTCGTAAGTTTCAACGGCTAATCTGCGGTTGATGGTGGATATGTCTTACAAAGATGTTAGAGAGTTAAGCAAAACCAGCTGGACCGGAGGAAAACAACCTCTCATCCCATCCGTCATACCACCGACACTTCGTGAAACTGTAAAGTGAAAAAATACCAAGTTCTCTGTCGGCAGTGAGCCTTTCTAACGAGCTGTTTCCGTGTGAAATTGGGAGCCCTTCTAACGGAAGTGAGACTTTTTATTATCAATATATTTATTATTATTATTATTAATTTAATAATTACTATTGTTTATTAGTATTTATTATTATCTATTGTTATTATATTTAAATCATTATTATTATTTATTTAATAATTTTAAGTTATTTAACAATTTAATAATTTATTATTAGGGAAAATTCCCAATTAGTATCATGTACTTTAGGTCTATTGCCACTTTGGTCTCCAAACTTATAAAATGCAATAATTCAGTACCCTCGTTAATTAGTTATTATCAGCCGTTAAGTGACATTAAAAAAAAAACATAAATGCCCTTCGAGTATCATCTAATTTTCTTTATCAACTATGCAAACATTGAACAAAATGAACAAAAAATTAATAGTCCCAAATGTTTGCTTCTTTTTTTGATAAATCCCAAATTCTTGCTTCTTCTATTCAAGAAAGCTGTCAATGTTTAGATGGTTGATAAAGAAAATTAGATGACACTCGAAGGACAATTATGTCTTTTTAAAATGTCACTTAACGATAGATTAACAGCTAGCTAACGACAGGTATTAGTAGGGCTGTTCATGGGTCGGGTTGGGTCGGTTTACTGTGGTTTTTCCAACCGACCCGACCTGGTCAGGTTATCTAACATAGAAATTGAAACCGACCCAGTGTTAAGAAAAACCGACCTGGTCGGTTTGAGTCGGGTTGGGTCGGTTTCGGTTCTAAATTCATCCCTGTGATAACATCTTGCTAATTTTAAAAACAGTCATAAATTGAACATCATTTCAGCCATCTCCTATGATAAAATTTAAATGAAAATTTAATCACAAAAGTTGTTCATTAATCACTATTCACTAATCCAAAGTTTCTTGCAACCATTCAAAAACTAAGTGGCCTAATGGGCTTTGAAACTTCATGTTTGAACTAGGAACTAAGTCGGTTCAGTTCGGGTCGGTTTCGGTTTTCTTGTGTGAAAACCAAAACCAACCCGAATCATCGGTTTAGGAATTTGCACAACCCGAAACCAACCCATACTAATGAAAACCCGACCGACTCGGGTTGGGTCGGTCCGGATTGGTCGGTTTGGTCGGGTTGGGCCTCTTATGAACAGCCCTAGGTACTGGATTGTCACGTTTTGAAAGCTTGGACCAAACCAAAGTGGCACTAGACCTAAAGTATAGGGTACTAATCGGGAATTTTCCCTTATTATTATTATTATTATTATTATTATTATTATTATTATTATTATTATTATTATTATTATTATTATTATTATCATTATTATTATTATATACATGGTTATAATCATAACCATATAGCATACGGGTCTTAATGGACCCGTTTTAAAATAGTTATTGATGAGGGGTAATTTGGTCCTCCAATGACATTAAGACATGTGGCATCGCAAAACAGTTGGGGGACACCACGGCACCACGTAAGCATATCACCTCGGACACTTAACAACTGCATCAATGACCTCAGGGCCACCCCAGTAGACTGAATTGTGAATAGCTAGATGGGACCTCAGGTCAATGTATGATGCGACCTACTTCCACTGGACTACCCTAGTCCTGTCAAGACATCAGGCCAGCATGAAAGGTAACCCGCTTTTGCTGACCTGACCTGAGTTCAGCTATCGACCTGCCAAGTGACCTCCTTAAGTGGATTATCATCTCTGACTTCTCCAAGATCACGATGCTCGACCGTTAGGCCCGTCTTTCTGCACCGTCCGCATTAGAATTGATTGGATGGACCTTATTCCTCTGTGTGGATCACGTATCTGGCTGAGAGATCTCCTCCATACATGGCGGACATGGTTTCCTAAGAATCTCTGACGCGTTATAGGAAGTTCCCGGTTTCTTATGCCTATATAAAGGTGTCCCTTCCCTCAAAGAAGGGACGCGCAATTTAGCTCTCAAGCACTGTAGCTCTTTCGCTCTTCAACTCTCTCCAAAATCTTAAGTTCACTAACTTGAGCATCGGAGTGCCTACCCCGGGTAAAGCAGCCCAAGCACTCTGATCTCTCTCTCTCTCTCTCACTCACTCTCTTGCAGTTTGTCCACGTGACCTACTGAATCCAACGTTTGAGCTGTCCACCAACAAGGAGCACCAAATCACGCATCATCAATTGGCACTGTTTGTGGGATCATTGTACAGAAAGCCATGCTCTCACATCCATTCCTCAAGCATATCTTCAATGGCATCCTCTAGCAACGCTCCCATCAACAACATCTCAGCAACAGGGGGCAGGACCAACCTACAGTACACCCTGAGGTCCCCTCTGTGACTATTGGGCAGTTCACCATGCCCTTGACCTTGACAGGTGTCCCTGTCATGCAAAATCCCGTCTTTCCCTTGCATAACATGAACGCGCCTCACCCTCCAATCGAGCCTTTAGCGGTTCCTATTGGGATTGATGTGTGTCAATTCAATGAATTGGTGCAATATATTCGTGGAATGAACTTACATACGAAGACTTGGGAAGAGCGAGTTGCCGCCATGGCAGGGATGCAACAACAACAACAAAACCAAAATGTTGGCTAGAACTTGAATGTCAGATTGAATTAGAATCAACAACCCGCCAACCAGAACCAGGTCCCAGTAGAAGAACTAAGTTGATCCACAACACCAATTGGGAGCGAGGCCACTATTGTAAGGCTTATTTAATTATTACTTTGTAGTTGCTGTTAGTAGGCTGACTTCTAAAGATATTGTCAGTTAGTTACTTTTCTTTTCTTTTTTTATTAGTTTGGTTCTAGGGTGTGCCGCCAGGGGCATACTTGTAATTTCTATTCTTTTTACTAAGTTAATATAAATAGAGAACTGGCGGCAGCCAGTAGTGATTTTTCCTTTCCTCTCAATCGTATCTCCCTTTCTTCTCTTTATCTCTATCTCTCGTCTCCCTCTCCATGAATGATTACATGGTATCAGAGCAAGGTTTTCTGGGCTGTAAAAGACCTTCGATCCCTCCTGTTTTGAACCTGCTTCGCCTTTTCTTCCTTCTTTAAATTCTTGGACGTGGAAGACAGAGAAACCCTAGCAGATTACTGGCGGCACCTCCTGTGGTTTTTTCCTTGGTCGTAATATCAAGGAAACCCTAGTCGGAGAAGGGCAATGTTGATAGAGACTCTCTTCCTTCTCTGTTCAATGCTATGAAGTCGATTTCAGGTTGGCACCTTCATACAGGTACTGGACAGGTGTGTTCTTGTTTTTGTCTTTTTCGGCCAATGGTGTGAAGGGCTTATTCCTTGGTTCTATATATTTGCTTGGATGCTAGACTGTTAGACTGTATGAGTTGCAGTCGGATTGATAGTAATATCTGCCTTGGTTGTGTTGGACTGATTACCGAGCTTGTTTAATGACTGAACCATCTCAGAGTTGATTTCAGCAGTGTCTTGTTCTCTTCCTCACATCCTAGAAGTAAATTCCTTGAGGGTTGGTATTCTGCTTGTGGTTGTTGTGTGGTGTTTGGACTGTTTTCAGCAGTGTCCTATGACAAATTATGAAATAACTTCATCAGGGGTTACACCAACCCTTTCCCATGCCAATTACCCCTTTAAATGGTCTGAACTACTTGGAGTGGGCTAAAAGCGTAAAACTCTATGTAACGGCAAGGGATAAAGTTGTTACATAAATGGAATGGTGAAAGAACCCAAAGTTGAGACAACTGAACATGATAGGTGGGACCAAGAAAATAGTATGGTGATGTCTTGGCTCCTCGCAGCCATGGAACTTGATGTGAAGAAGAACTTTATGTGGGCAGACACCGCTAGTGAGATCTGGGAACAAGCCAAAACTACATATTCTGAGCAAAGGCATTATGCCAAGGTTTACCAGTTACAAGCTGAATCTTCAACCTGTAAACAGGGAAACCGTAGTTTGTCTTCGTATTATTCAGCCCTTACCTCCATATGGAAAGAATTGGATCATTATTAGGCTATAGAGTGGAAACATGATGATGATGCTAAGGCCTACAGGAAGCTGGTCTCTCAGCAACGTGTGTTTGCCTTCCTGTTGGGACTGAACCCTGCATGTGAACCGTTGAGGGTTCAAATCCTAGGAAGCAAAGAGTTTCCGTCGGTTCATGAGGTATACTCCCTTGTTCAATCGGAAGAAAGCAGGCGGAGTGTGATGGTTACAGCTGAGGGGGAGCAACAAGTTGCTTTGGCTGCAATGAATAATAACTCCACGGGGAAGAAAAGAGACACTAAGAAGACTGATGATAAAGATAAGTTGTTTTGTACCCACTGTCGGCGTTCACGGCATACACGTGACACTTGTTGGGACATCCACGGGAAACCCAAGTGGGCAGTGAGGAATCAAGAACAGGGTAAAGGTCAGAAGAAGATGAACACAACATAGAATGTAGCACATGTGGCAACCCAAGATACTCAGGTTGCCGGTAGTACCCGGGACCACCTTAATAATTCTGACCCCAAGGAAGATATAATGAATTCCTTCAGAGAACACCTGGAATCTTATGGTAGGGTTTTGCGACAAATGGACAGCTCAGTCACTGGTACTGCCTCTACTTCATTTGCATCTACTTCAGGTAATACGGCTTCTGCATTCCATGTCACTCCCACGGATTCCCCTTGGATCATCGACTCAGGCGCCTCCAACCACATGACTGGTAAGCCGAACTTGTTTTAGACTTATAGTCTTTTGTCAGGAAGGAATAGAGTGAGACTTGCTGATGGCTCTTTTTCCTCTATTGTAGGCCAAGGATCGATATCTCTTCCCCATGGCCTTAACCTGAATTGTGTATTGCATGTCCCTCAACTTCCTATAAATTTGCTTTCAATTAGTAGTATTACAAGCTCTTTAAACTATAGTGTAACCTTTTTTGCTGACTCATGTGT